GAATGAACTAGTGATTTATCCATTTCAAGAAGTAGTGTTGAGGACCTACCAAATTCTCAAGGTAATATGGGTGACATAAGGATTACATGAGAGTTAGATGTAAAGGGGCAACATGGAGCCTCCCTGGCTATCCTCTTAGGACTGAACTCTTACTCCCAGGCTCTGTGCTTGGAAAATGTTCCCTTCCTATGGGGATTCTTGCAGGTGGGGAAAAACAGGGAATGTGAACTTTGATCCAAACTTGAACCTATCATCCTGGGCATCCTGGATCAAATTTTTAAAATTCTCACATCAAACTTCTAAGCAATATTGTATTGTAAGCAGTAGAACATGAAATTACTTTTGGACAAAGATGCCTTTGTTCTGGAAACCATAATTCTCATGGAAATAACCACCTCAACCAACAGGTACACAATGGCAGAGATGTTTATGCTACTTGACCTTTTTCCATGACTATAGTTAATAAGATAAATGGCCCATCTAATATGGACCAATCTCTTCCTAGACTAAGAGCTGGACTAAGAGACACTTACAAATTACTGACGGCTACCTGAATCGAAATAATATATACCTGGACACTGTGCAACCATGTTTCCACCGTGTGCATGGACAAGCAATGGCCAATTTGTAGAGAGAGGATAATTACACACAGTGGGAAAGAGCAAGGGCAAGTCCAGCTGATAACAACCAAATCCCTGTGAACTAGCTTTGCCTCCTGCCCTCGGAGCCTCCTGCTCGCTATTAAACCTCTAAACATCTGCTTTATTGCTTAAGTTAGTTTAGTGGAATCTGCTTATTTGTCATCAAAGAGCCTTAGTTTAAAAAAAATATAATTAAGCTGAGGCCATTTTCTGGGATCTGTGGTTTGTAACCCTCCAAAATTTTAATTGATTTGCATGGTCCTATAAAGTCTATTTCATTGTGGGGTACTTCCTAAATATGACCTTAGACATATTATTCTATAAATTATCTTTTGTTTCTGGAAATATAGTTGCTCAAGGGTTGCTATTATGACCCCAAGATGGTAGCTGGAATATGAAGGCATGGGTGCTATTTCAAACAGAGGAGAAACTTGGAGGGAAAAAAATGGATTGAGTTTAGCAATGTTTACATTGTACTGGTTGGTTGTGTCTCTAATCTAGTGTTATTCTAACTCAGTTGAGGAAAAAGAACTGATGTCCAGTTATGTTCTAAAGGGACTATGCTTGTGAGTATGGAGGATACCTTCTATGAATTGGAGTTGCATTTTTTTTAAAGAGTAGAAATTCCCATAACTTATCCTAGTGGGATGGGTAGATCCAGGCCAGAAATAAAAGACTTAATGGCAGGAAACCTTATACCTTTAGCAGGATTTGGAGATATGAGGCCTGTGGCTCAGTAGAGGGGAGAACATATGTGAGATTTTTTTTTCCCCATGAAAAACTCTGACTTTCACCACTGTGAGGCAGGCCAGAAGAGCTATATAAGCTTCACCCAGTGGACTCTGAGGACAGAGTCTTGGCTAGCAGTCATAGATAATACAAGTTTTCTATTTCTCTGCATTATAATTGCCTTCTGTGATAGTAAAACCTTCAGAAAAGTTTCATTACAGTCTGGTTTTGGGTTAAGCTGCAAATAAGGAAGAATAGGTGTGAAATGGTAAAAGGAATGCAGATTTTCCTCATCCTGAGGTCAGCTTTGTGATAGCAGGATTAACTGAAGAGAGACAGAATATTCTAAAACTGCAGAAAGTGGTCAGAGGAGAGTTGAGTCTCCCAGCCTGGAATCAGTCAAAACAGAAGCATAGATGTGGCCACTCTGACCTAGGAACCAGCAGGAGGCAACCCCCCACCAACTTCTTCCCAGCATGCTAGAGGGAAAACAATTATGACAGAGACCAGCTAGATGTTCAACAGTATTGTTTCCTACTTCTAAGCACATACAAGCCTATAGCCCCCAGATGACTTGCAATGGCCAAAGGGGATGTGGACCCTAAAATCTCCATATTCTCCCCTGCCTGGCCTCTCTTTGTTTGTTCCATTCAGAAGGTATGCAAAGGACTCCAAGAGGGTCATAGAAGACACAGCAAATTCAAAGCTAGAGGGAGGCTGAATCCCTGAGCTATTACTTGTAGAACTGCCACACCTGTTTTGAGTCGTGATGGGAGCAAGGAATAAACAGTCATTGTGTTAAACCACTGAGATTCTGAGGTTGGTTTGCTAACATCTAACATTAATTACTCTGACTAATACAGCAGCATAAAAACATGTCTGAAGTCCTGTTTTTGCACAGATGAGCCTTTGAAACACTAGAGTTGGGTTTACACAAAACTGAATCTCTCCCCAAAGAGCTTACAATGCTGTGGAAAGCTTAGAGAAAAAGTGACAATAGAAGGATAAATAGGAACCTAATAAATGACTTTGTTTTCCTGTTGCAGCTGTTAGTGATAAGGCACAGAGCAACCAGGAAAACACTTAAACAAAAACTTTCATAGTGCCATTCCCCTGACAGAATTGCCAAGAGGTGAGTGCTTGTTTTACAAGAGGTGAAGTCATTGCCATCCTACCCACTCATTAAAAGAAGCCTCCATTTTTCTCTTTGATCAGCTCACAGGTTTTGTTTATAACCTTTATTTTCTGCATTGCCATGGTTTTGTCTTTTGTTTTCTGTATCTGATGGAAAATAAAACAAAATAGAACAGTACACTATGACAATTCTTACTGAACCAAGACCTTGCCAACATAATGCTGTGTCCATAAGTAACTACAAACTAAAATACGACTAAGACTTCAAAAATAGCTGACCTGGTCTCCTGAGATAGTTGAACTTTCTTTTTTAACTGGGTAGAAAGAGAAATCCAGCCAGGTGAAGCAGGCCTGTGGCTTTATTTTTGGTTTTGTTTCTTATTAATTTGGGGTTTGAACTCAGGGCCTTGTGCTCACCAGGCAGGTGCTCTACCACTCAAGCCACATCCCTTATGCTAGACTTTGTTTGTTTTTAAGTTCTCAAGTAACTTATGACACACGCTACAACATGGATGAACCTTGGTAATTATGCTAAGTTAAAAAAAAAACAGCCATATATTGTGAAATTCTATTTGTATGAAATGTCCAGGCAAATCCATGGAGACAGAAAACAGATTAGTGTTGCCAGAGACTAGAGGGAGAGGGAAAAAGGAGTGAGTGCTGCTTAGTGGGTACAGGGTTTCCTTTGAGGGTGATAAAACTGTTCTGAACCAGCTAGTGACGATGGTTGCATGACACTGCCAATGGATTATACACTTTAAAATGGTGCCACCAAGTATGATGGTACACACCTATAATCCCAGCACTTGGGGGGCTAAGATTGAAGGATGGTGAGTTTGAGGCCAGCCTGAGCTACATAGTAAATTCCAAACTAGCCTGGGGTACATAGTAAGATCCTGGCTCAAAAACAATAGCTTTTATGTTCAGTGAAGTTTATCTCAATTTTAAAAATCTGATGTTTAAAAATGTTTAGCATTTATTTATAATCCATTAGGATAAAAACCCACTTTATGCAGTTTCAATTCAAAATTCTGATAAAAAAATTAACTTAGTATTGTCTTCCTTGCCCCCACACTCCTGCTGTCTTCTACTTATCCTTCCTGAGGCTATAGTATCAATAATGGTAGCATTAAAACAACAAAAATTAAATGCAACTCAAAAACCCAGTGGCAGAAACACAGCTCAACTTCAGGGCAATTGCCAAATCAATAGGAAATAATGTGCTCTTTAGTAAAGTCCTGGGGGAGATTGGGCTTCTACTCATGGCAGACACAGAGTTATAGGTTCCTGGATGAGAAATTAATAAACGAAGAAACACATCAGAGGGCTTCCTGCTTCTCTCCACATTCTGCTGTTGCTGTTATTTTTAGACTCTGCCATTTTTAAAAATCTGGCTTTTGTGACAAACCAGATTTAGATAGTGAAGAAGAAAAGAGGTTGAAAGACAGACAAGGGGTTAGACTATGATTATTGTGTTGACCCTGGAAAGTCATGTCACAGATGCTATGCCAACCAGTGAGAAAAAAGACACAGGACTGAAGAAAATGGACTGAGGCCAGGAGTGGTGGTACATGTTTGTAATCTCAGCTACATGGGAGGCGGAAGTAGGAGGATCATGGTTAGCTTCCCTGCCAAGTGGGAGTCCCTGAGTTCAAGGCCTAGTACTGCTGAAGAAAGGAGGGAGGGAAGGAAGAAAAGAGAGACAGAGGGAGAAAGAGGAAGGAAAGAAGGAAGAAAAGAAGGAAGGAAGGAAGGAAGGAGGGAGGGAGGGAGGGAGGGAAAAGCCTTTTCTTTAAATCTTGCCCTCCTTCTTTCTTCTTCAGCCACGCTTTCTTCTCAGATAGAGAATTTGGCATCTCTGCCTGAGCTGGGAAATAAAAGTGGTGTGGATGGAGAGAGATGGTGTCACCTCATAAAAAGTCTACATCTTCATCCAGAGGCCCCCTGGCTGCTCTGTTTGCTGGTTTCTAGGCATATCAGAATGCCAAGCTGTATGTCAGCAACACCCCATGTCAAGCACAACCAAGAGCAAATGCCACTCAGTGCTTTTGGCTGTCAAGCCCACATCCTAGCCCTACTTTGGAGAAAATTGTGAAAAGAATCTGTATGCTGGAGAAGCTCTGCTTGCAAGAACCAATTGCTAAATTTTCAAGAATTTGCAAGTGGGTTCTTAAAACCATTAGTTTAAAAATTGTATTACAAACATTACTAGAGTTAAAAGAGCTCTCAGTTAATGGTCATAATTTATAAAGTAATAAATAGTTTAAAAAAACAGTAGATTACATAACAGATGTTATGATGATAAATTGGGAAAAGATTTAGCAGATTGAGATGCAACTCCATTTGTTTTATCATGCTTGAATTGCAACATAGGCTGAATATGGATATATTAAACTCATCAAAAATCAATACACTCTTGAGTCACCCCCATGTAGCCTAGGTGCTGAGTGCGAGTCAGACATGGTTCAGGCCCACCCTGCTGTGTTGAACTTGCAGCCCTTTCTTTTCAAGATGCCTGAGGAAGTAGACCATGGAGAGGAGGAGGTGGAGACTTTTGCCTTTCAGGCAGAAATTGCCCAACTCATATCTCTCATCATCAATACATTCTATTCCAACAAGGAAGTTTTCTTTGGGAGTTGATCTCCAATGCTTCTGATGCCTTGAACAAGATTCACTATGAGAGCCTGACAGACCCTTCCAAGTTGGACAGTGGGAAAGAGCTGAAAACTGACATCATCCCAAACCCTCAGGAACACACCCTGACTTTGGTGGACACAGGCGTTGGTATGTCCAAGGCTGACCTCATAAACAACTTGGGAACCTTTGCCAAGTCTGGTATTAAAGCATTTATGGAGGCTCTTCAGGCTGGTGCAGACATCTCCATGATTGGGCAGTTTGGTGTTAGGTTTTATTCTGCTTATCTGGTGGCAGAGAAGGTGGTGATCACAAAGCACAATGACAACAAGCAGTATGCCTGGGAGTCTTCTGCTGGGGGTTACCTCACTGTTCGTGCTGACCATGATGAGTCCATTGGCTGAGGTACCAAAGTGATCCTCCACCTCAGAGAAGATCATACAGAGTACTTAGAGGAGAGGCAGGTCAAAGAAGTGGTAAAGAAGCACTCGCAGTTCATGGGCTATCCCATCACCCTCTATTTGGAAAAGGAACGGGAGAAGGAGATCAGTGATGACGAGGCAGAGGAAGAGGAAGGTGAGAAAGAGGAGGAAGATAAGGATGAGAGAAGAAGCCCAAGATTGAAGATGTGGGCTCAGATGAGGAAGATGACAGTGGTAAGGATAAGAAAAAGAAAACCAAGAAGATTAAGGAGAAATACATTGATCAGGAAGAACTGAACAAGACCAAGTCCATTTGGACAAGGAACCCTGATGACATCACTCAGGAAGAATATGGAGAATTCTACAAGAGCCTCACTAATGACTGGGAAGATCACGTGGCAGTTAAACACTTCTCTGTAGAAGGTCAGCTGGAATTCAGGGCATTGCTCTTTGTTCCCCTTTGACCTTTTTGAGAACAAGAAGAAGAAGAACAACATCAAACTTTACATCCACCATGTGTTTATTATGGATAGCTGTGATGAGTTGATACCAGAGTATCTGAACTTTATTCGAGGTGTGGTTGATTCTGAGCACTTACCCCTGAATATCCCCCGAGAAATGCTCGAGCAGAGCAAAATCTTGAAAGTCAGCACAAAAACATTGTGAAGTGCCTTGAGCTCTTTTCTGAGCTGGCAGAGAAAAGGAGAACTACAAGAAGTTCTATGAGGGGGGACTCCAAGATGGCGGCTAGAGGGAGGAAGCAGAAAGTGAGCCTCCTATAGTGAAATCTTGGAGAGACGCCAGAGACACACTTTGCAGGCATAATCACTGAGAAGAGGCATAACTTTGACCCCTCCACACCTCCAGCCAGCGCAGAGAATCTCCACTTCACATTAAACGGAGAAACCAGGAGGGCTCCTGGGCCGCCAGTCGCCCACGCCCAGATGGCTTGGGAAGACGTGGACCAGGTGAGCTTTGTAATACCGAGGTACTCCCACAGACAAGCCTGGGCCAGAGCAGCATAGCCCCCAGGACAGACTGACCTCCACCAGGGGAAAAAAAGAGAAACTGAGTAATAAGCAATAGGAACAAATAAGACACGCAGGAAAGAGGGTGGGGCGCCCTGAGCGCTGAAGATTGGGGGAAGGGAATCCTTCCCGGGACTGTAAATAAACAAGCCGGGCAGACCAGAGAGCTTCTGGTGGGAGTGGGGGCAGGGCGTGTGCCCAGCAACCAGGAGCGGGAAAGCTGGTGAGAGTGGTGGAGGGAGGAAAACTCCACAGGAGAGGAGGGAAGACCCACTTCCCACGTGAACTGTAAACAAACATGGTGGCTGGCAGGAGCAGCAGCACTGCCCAGTAATCAGGAGCAGGAAAGCTTGTGAAAGTGGCAGTGGGAGGAAAACTTCACAGGAGGTGGGGAAGACCCACCTCCCACATGAACTGTAAATAAACACGCAGGCCTAAGAACACAGGTGAAGTGTCAGCTTTCCCAGTGCTTAGAAAGGGGAAAGCTTGTAGCAGAGGCTCCCGCACAGGAGAACTCTGAACAAACAAAGCCTGCAGGGCCAGGTGAGTGCTAAGCTCACCCCAGAGATCTGCATAAACAATGCCTCCAGCAACAGCAGGCTGACAGCAGCGGGCAGGCAAGCCACAGCTGCAGATACCATTCTCAGAACTGTCTCCAGACTCTTTTTTTTTTTCTTTTTCTCCCTACCTTTGATGAGAGAACAACCGAATTATACCTGCAAGTGGAAAAACTTACTGAAACTGTATTGCATTTGAATTTGGGACACTTGGTGGGGCTTTGTGTGTGTGTGTGTGTGTGTGTGTGTGTGTGTGAGTGTGTAGATTTGTTCTACTTTATGCATCCCCTTTGATGAGACAATTGCAGAACAACATCTGAGGCACCAACTCCAGGACTGGAGACTGAGATAGACACCCAAATTATTAAGATTGAAACTTCATTGCATTTGAACTTGGAGGTTTTTTGGGTTTTTTTTTTTTTTTTTATTTTCTATTTTCCATTTTATTTTAATTCATTTTTATATACAGATATTTCTTTCATTTACTTATTTTTTATTTTTATTCCTATCTATTTTTTTATTTTTGATTTTCAATCCTCTCTCTGTCTCTCTAATGTCTGTTCAGCTTACTGTTGATTAGTACACTAAAGCTCCCTGTTTATACATTTGAAACTTTTTTGTCTGAAACCTTGTTCTGCTTTCTTCCTCTTGTCTGTGTATTTGTTTTCTCCTTTTCTTTAACTTCTTGCTTTCCATCTCAGCTCACCCTTCCATTCTAAATATTACCATTGTTATTATTACAAGCTAGAAAATACTTAATTGCACAATACAGGGACAGTAACAACACCAAAGACAATGACAGGAAGACAAAAAAACAGGGAAACCAGTTTCCCCACAGCAAAAAACTAGTACAGGAACCAGAGGGGAATGAAGAAAACAGAAACTCAGATCCAGACTCCAACAAAATGAAGATAAACTATGCCAAAGGACCCAATGAAGCCCACAAGAATAATTTAAAAGAAGACATACTACAGGTACTCAATGAGAATTTTATAGAGATGATACTGGATAGGGTCAACCAAAATGTACAGGAGACACTCAAGAAATTCCAAGACAACAAAAATAGAGAATTTGAAAAAGCAAAAGAAGAAATAAAGGAAACCATAGAAGCACTGTATAAACACCAAAGTGAAACAGAGAACACAATGAATAAACGGATAAATGAACTCAGGACAAAAATAGACAACATTAAAGAGGAAACCAGCCAGGATATGGAAAACCTCAGAAAAAAGAACGAAACAGAACTGCAAAACAAAACAGAAGGCCAATCCAGCAGAATAGAACAAACAGAAGACAGAATCTCAGAACTTGAAGATGAAATGGTAATTAAAGGAAAAACCGAAGAACTATTAATTAAACAACTCAAGACCTGTGAAAAGAAAATGCAAGAACTCACCGACTCCATCAAAAGACCAAACTTGAGAATCATGGGCATCGAAGAAGGAGAAGAGGTGCAAGCGAAGGGAATGCGTAATATATTCAACAAAATAATAACGAAAATTTCCCAAATCTAGAGAAAGATATTCCCATACAGATGCAAGAGGCCTCCAGGACACCAAACAGACCAGATCAAAATAGAACTACCCCGTGACATATCATCATTAAAACAACAAGTTCAGAAACTAAGGAAAGAATATTGAAGGCTGTAAGAGAGAAAAAACAAGTAACATACAAAGGTAAACCCATCAAAATCACAGCAGACTTCTCAACAGAAACATTAAAAGCAAGAAGAGCGTGGGGTGAGATCTTCCGGGCACTGAATGAAAATAACTTCAACCCCAGGATACTCTACCCAGCAAAACTATCATTCAAAATAGATGGAGCAATAAAAGTCTTCCATGATAAGCAGAAACTAAAACAATATGTGACCACAAAGCCACCACTACAAAGATTCTTCAAGGGATTCTGCACACAGAAAGTGAAACCCAACTTAACCATGAAAAGACAGGCAGCACCAAACCACAGGAAAAGAAAAAGCAAGACAGTAGAGAGTAACCCCAATTTAGGTACACACAATCAAACCTTCAAACAACTAAAACAACTAAATGACAGGAATCACCACATACCTATCAGTACTAACTTAATGTTAACGGACTTAATTCACCCATCAAAAGGCACGCTTGACAAAAATGGATTAAAAAGGAAGATCCAACAATTTGTTGCTTACAGGAGACCCATCTCACCGACAGAAATAAGCATAGGCTTAGGATGAAAGGCTGGAAGAAGATTTACCAAGCCAATGGCCCCAAAAACAGGCAGGAGTAGCAATACTTATCTCTGACAAAGTAGACTACAAACCTACATTGATCAAACGAGATAAAGAAGGACATTCCATACTAATAAAAGGGGAAATAGACCAAAAGGAAATAATAATTATCAACTGTATGCACCCAATGTCAAGCACCCAATTTCATCAAACATACCCTGAAAGACCTAAAAGCATATATAAATGCCACACAGTGGTTGTGGGAGACTTTAACACCCCATTATCATCAATAGAGGTCATCCAAACAAAAAATCAATAAAGAAATCCAAGATCTAAAATATGCAATAGATCAATGGACCTAGTTGATGTCTACAGAACATTTCATCCAACTTCTACACAATATACATTCTTCTCAGCAGCCCATGGAACCTTCTCCAAAATAGATCATATCCTAGGGCACAAAGCAAGTCTCAGCAAATATAAGAAAAAAGAAATTATTCCATGCATACTATATGATCACAATGCAGTAAAAGTAGAACTCAACAACAAAAGTAAAGACAAAAAACATGCAAACAGCTGGAAACTAAATAACTCATTACTTAATGAAGAATGGATCATCGATGAAATAAAAGAGGAAATTAAAAAGTTCCTGGAAGTCAATGAAAATGAAAACACAACCTACCAGAACCTATGGGACACAGCTAAGGCAGTCCTGAGAGGAAAGTTTATAGCCATGAGTGCATATATTAAAAAGACTGAAAGATCCCAAATCAATGACCTAATGATACATCTCAAACTCCTAGAAAAACAAGAACAAGCAAATCCCAAAACAAATAGAAGGAAGAAATAATAAAAATAAGAGCTGAAATCAATGAAATAGAAACCAAAAAACCATACAAAGAATTAATGAAACAAAAAGTTGGTTCTTTGAAAAAATAAACAAGATCGATAGACCCCTGGCAAACCTGACTAAAATGAGGAGAGAAAAAACCCAAATTAGTAGAATCAGGAATGCAAAAGGGGAGATAACAACAAACACCATGGAAGTCCAGGAAATCATCAGAGACTACTTTGAGAACCTATATTCAAATAAATTTGAAAATCTTAAAGAAATGGACAGATTTCTAGATACATATGATCATCCAAAACTGAACCAAGAGGAAATTAATCACCTGAATAGACTATAACACAAAATGAAATTGAAGCAGCAATCAAGAGTCTCCCCAAAAGAAAGTCCAGGACCTGATGGATTCTCTGCTGAATTCTATCAGACCTTTAAAGAAGAACTGATACAACCCTCCTTAAACTGTTCCACAAAAGAAAGGGAAGGAAAACTGCCAAACACATTTTATGAAGCCAGTATTACACTTATCCCAAAACCAGGCAAAGACACCTCCAAAAAGGAGAACTATAGGCCAATCTCCTTAATGAACATTGATGCAAAAATCCTCAACAAAAAATGGCAAACCGAATTCAAAACACATCAAAAAGATTATTCACCACGACAAGTAGGCTTCATCCCAGGATGCAGGGGTGGTTCAACATATGAAAATCAATAAACGTAATAAACCACATTAACAGAAGCAAAGACAAAAACCACTTGATCATCTCAATAGATGCAGAAAAAGCCTTTGATAAGATCCAACACATTTCATGATAAAAGCTCTAAGAAAACTAGGAATAGAAGGAAAGTACCTCAACATTATAAAAGCTATATATGACAAACCTACAGCCAGCATTATACTTAATGGAGAAAAACTGAAACCATTCCCTCTAAAATCAGGAACCAGACAAGGATGCCCACTATCTCCACTCCTATTCAACATAGTACTGGAATTCCTAGCCAGAGCAATTAGGCAAGAAGAAGGAATAAAAGGAATACAAATAGGTAAAGAAACTGTCAAAATATCCCTATTTGCAGATGACATGATCCTATACCTTAAAGACCCAAAAACTACTACTCAGAAGCTTCTAGACATCATCAATAGCTATAGCAAGGTAGCAGGATATGAAATCAACATAGAAAAATCATTAGCATTTCTATATACTAATGAGCAGACTGAAAAAGAATATATGAAAACAATTCCATTTACAATAGCCTCAAAAAAAATCAAATACCTAGGTGTAAACTTAACAAAGGATGTGAATGACCTCTACAAGGAAAACTATAACTTCTGAAGAAAGAGATTGAGGAAGACTATAGAAAGTGGAGAGATCTCCCATGCTCATGGATTGGTAGAATCAACATAGTAAAAATGTTTATACTCCCAAAAGTAATCTACATGTTTAATGCAATTCCCATCAAAATTTCAATGGCATTCATTAAAAGGTTGAAAAATCTACTGTTAAATTTATATGGAAACACAAGAGGCCACAAATAGCCAAGGCAATACTCATTCAAAAGAACAATGCAGGAGGTATCACAATACCTGACTTCAAACTATATTACAAAGCAATAACAATAAAAACAGCATGGTACTGGCACAAAAACAGACATGAAGACCAGTGGAACAGAATAGAGGACCCAGATATGAAGCCACACAACTATAACAACTTATCTTTGACAAAGGAGCTAAAAATATACATGGAGAAATAGCAGCCTCTTCAACAAAAACTGCTGGGAAAACTGGTTAGCAGTCTGCAAAAAACTGAAACTAGATCCATGTATATCACCCTATACCAATATTAACTCAAAATGGATCAAGGATCTTAATATCAGACCCAAACTCTAAAGTTGATACAGGAAAGAGTAGGAAATACTCTGGAGTTAGTAGGTATAGGTAAGAACTTTCTCAACAAACCCCAGCAGCACAGCAACTAAGAGATAGCATAGATAAATGGGACCTCATAAAACTAAAAAGCTTCTGTTCATCAAAAGAAATGGTCTCTAAACTGAAGAGAACACCCACAGAGTGGGAGAAAATATTTGCCAGCTATACATCAGACAAAGGACTGATAACCAGAATATAGGGAACTTAAAAAACTAAATTCTCCCAAAACTAATGAACCAATAAAGAAATGGGCAAGTGAACTAAACAGAACTTTCTCAAAAGAAGAAATTCAAATGGCCAAAAACACATGAAAAAATGCTCACCATCTCTAGCAATAAAGGAAATGCAAATTAAAACCACGCTAAGATTCCACCTCACCCCTGTTAGAATAACCATCATTAGCACCAACACCAACAACAGGTGTTGGCGAGGATGCGGGGAAAAAGGAGCCCTCTTACACTGTTGGTGAGAATGTAAACTAGTACAACCACTCTGGATAAAAATTTGGAGGCTACTTAAAAAGCTAAACATTGATCTACCATTTGATCCAGCAATACCACTCTTGGAGATTTACCCAAAGACTGTGACACAGGTTACTCCAGAGGCACCTGCACACCCATGTTTATTGCGGCACTATTCACAATAGCCAAGTTATGGAAACAGCCAAGATGCCCCACCACTGACGAATGGATTAAGAAAATGTGGTATCTATACACAATGGAATTTTATGCAGCCATGAAGAAGAACGAAATGTTATCATTCGCTGGTAAATGGATGGAATTGGAGAACATCATTCTGAGTGAGGTTAGCCTGGCCCAAAAGACCAAAAATCGTATGTTCTCCTCATATGTGGACATTAGATCAAGGGCAAACACAACAAGGGATTGGACTTTGAGCACATGATAAAAGCGAGAGCACACAAGGGAGGGGTGAGGATAGGTAAGACACCTAAAAAATTAGCTAGCATTTGTTGCCCTTAACGCAGAAAACTAAAGCAGATACCTTAAAAGCAACTGAGGCCAATAGGAAAAGGGGACCAGGAACTAGAGAAAGGTGAGATCAAAAAGAATTACCTAGAAGGTAACACATGCACAGGAAATCAATGTGAGTCAATGCCCTGTGTAGCTATCCTTATCTCAACCAGCAAAACCCTTGTTCCTTCCTATTATTGCTTATACTCTCTCTTCAACAAAATTAGAGATAAGGGCAAAATAGTTTCTGCTGGTATTGAGGGTGGGGGAGAGGGGGGGTGGAGTGGGTGTAAGGGAGGGGGTGGGGGAGGGGGGAGAAATGACCCAAGCCTTGTATGTACATATGAATAATAAAAGAAGAAAAAAAAAAGAAGTTCTATGAGGCATTCTCTAAGAACTAAAGCTTGGAATTCATAAGGACTCCACCAATCGACGACTGCTTTCTGAGCTGCTGAGCTATCTCACCTCTCAGTCTGGAGATGAGATGACTTCCCTGTCAGAGTCTGTCTCTCCATTAAAGGAGACTCAGAAGTCCATCTACTACATCACAGGCAAGAGTGAAGAGCAGGTGGCCAACTCAGTCTTCGTAGAGCAGTTGAGGAAGCCCGGCTTTGAGGTGGTGTACATGACAGAGCCCATTGAAAGAAGTACCTGCATAGAGAGCGTGAAGGAAGTTGATGGGAAGAGCCTGGTGGTCCCCTGTGACCAGGAGGGGCCTGGAGTGCTTGAGGATGAGGAGGAGAAGAAAATGGAAAGAAAGAGCAAGGCAAATATTTGAGAATTCTGGCAAGCCTCATGAACGAAATCTTGGATAAGAAGGTTGAAGAAAGGTGACAATCTCCAATAGGCCTTGTGTCTTCTCCTGCTGCAATTGTGACAGCACCTATGACTGGACAGGCCAACATGGAAATGGATCAATGAAGGTCCAGGCATTTAGAGACAACTCTACCAGTGGGTAAATGATGGCCAAAAAACAACCTGGAGGGGGGAATTCCTGAACCCACCCCCATTATGGACACACTGAGGCAGAAGGCTGAGGCAGACAAAAATGACAAGGCTGTCACGGACCTGGTGGTGCTCTGGTTTGAAACTGCGCTGCTTTCTTCTGGCTTTTTCCTTGAGGACCCCCCAGACCCACTCCAACTGCATCTACC